ACAGGGCTATAGGGTGAGGGATGGGGCTATAGGGTCCCCAGCCTGGGGACATGGTGCCATCCTTGCACGACCGAACCCCGCCATGTTGGGGGCTCCTTCCCCTGGACTCACCCCGGGGGGGGGACCAGGTCCCTCCGGTTCAGGGCGGGGGGCAGTGTCCCCAGGAGGAGGACGGGGCCACCAGCCAGAGCCCCCTGGGGCGAGTCCGTGGTGGGGGGACACACACAGAGTCAGACCCGCTTTACCTTCCCCTGGAAAAGGCCAGGAGTGGCTTTTAAACGTGGTTTTAACCCAGTTTGGCTTCTCTTGTCCTGTCACTGGGCACCAGTAAAAAAAAGCCTGGCCCCATCCTCCTGACACCCACCCTTTCAGTATTTATAGGTGTTGATCAGATCCCCCCTCACCCTTCTCTTCTCCAGACTAAAAAGCCCCAAGTCCCTCAGCCTTTCCTCATAAGAGAGATGTTCTCCTCCCCTCATCATCTTTGTGTCCCTCTGCTGTCCCCTCTCCAGCAGTTCCCTGCCCTTCTTGAACTGGGGAGCCCAGAACTGGTCCCAGTGTTCCAGATGAGGCCTCCCCAGGGCTTTGGCGGGGGCTCCCCGCTTTGATCCTCCTCATCCAGCACACGGGGCCCCTTCCTCCACAATGACTCCTGTGTCCCTGCGAGGAGAAGAAGGAGGAGGAGGAGGAGGAGGAGGAGGAGGGAGTTGTGCTGTGGAAATAAACCACATCAAACAATCCGTCCCCAAATTCTGAGCCCGTCGGCTGCTCTCAGTCCTGCTTTGCGGGGTGGGAAGTGAGGACCCTGCCCATTCCTGGCAGGTGAGGGAGGCCCAGGCTGTGCGCCCAGGCAGAGAGAATGGAAAATCTTCCTGTATTTTAGGTTCCCTCAGCCCGGGTTGCACCCAGGGTCGGGTGAAGGTTGCTCCAGAGCCATGGAAGGCCCATTTCGGGCTGGTTTGCTCAGGCTGGGGCTGCTGGCTTCTCCCAGGGGCAGTGTGGAGGCGGCTGAGGGTGTAGAGCAGGGGCTGTGGTGCAGGCCTGGGGGCTGTGGGGGTCTGTGGGGGCAGGTCTGGGAGCTATGGGTCCAGGTCTGAGTTTTGTGGGGGTCCACAGCTGCAGGCCTGGGGGCCGTGGGGGTCCATGGGGGCAGGCCCGGGGGCTGTGTGGGCAGGCCTAGGAGGTGTGGATGCAGGCCTCGGAGCTGTGGG